AGGAGAACCTCATCGACTGCTCGTGGGCGCAGGGCGACATGGGGTGCGGCGGCGGGCTGCCCTCCCAGGCCTTCCAGTACACACTTCATCATCGTCAGCCATCATCCGTCACCCTCGCTCACCATGTTGCATGTCGTGTGTCGTGTCGCATTATCGTACCATTGCGGTGGCGTGTGCGCACACACACACACATGCAGGTATGTGATCGACAACAAGGGCATCGACACCGAGGCGCGGTATCCGCTGGCGTCGGTGTGGATCTCGGACTGCACCGCGCCCGAGCTGTGTCCGTGCACCTACAACCAGTCCGCGGGGGCGGTGGGCGCCGTCGTCGCGTCGTACACGTCCCTCCCGGCTGGCAGCGAAGCCGCCCTCGCTCACGCCCTCGCCACCGTCGGACCAGTACTACCGCCAGCACTGCCCCTGTCTAGCCTAGTTCCTGACGCGTGTCGTGTGTGTCGTGTGTGTCGTGTGTGTCGTGTCGTGTCGTGTCGTGTCGTGTCGTGTCGTGTCATGTCGTGTCGTGTGTGTCGTGTGTGTCGTGCTGCACAGATCAGCGTGTGCATTGATGCCGAGCAGGGACTGCAGTTCTACTCGGGCGGCGTGTTCTCGTCGCGATCGTGCGGCTCGGCTCGCACTGACCTCAATCACGCCGTGCTCGCCGTAGGCTACGGCAGCGTTCCCGTGGTACGCACACGACACACGCGCGCCATCGCACACGCACACACGCAACTGCGTCGACATATATTGAGAGCTGACAAATGGTACAGAATGGTACGGAGGTGGAGTACTACATCGTCAAGAACTCGTGGGGCCGGAGCTGGGGCATGGACGGCTACGTCCTCTTCGCGCGCGGCTCCAACATGTGCGGCATCGCCACGCTTGCCACTTACCCCAGCGTGATCTGATGATCGCCCCACTACACGTCCGCCCTGTTTCCTGTTTTTGTACATATTACTTTATAAAGTCATCACACCGCACACGCACACGCACCACCGCACACACCACCGCACACACCGCACGTACAGTAGTTCATCAAAGGAGTGTTTGGATGTGTCGTCGCGACGGCGTAGTCTCGCCGCCGGGCGGGCGGTGGTGCTCGGTCGCCTTGCGCGGCGGCAGCGGCGGAGGCGGCGGCGCCCAGCCGCTGCTGGCGAGATAGGTCGCGCGGGCGGCGATGAGCGAGGTCGACGGCAGGTGGAAGGGCAGCGTCGACGACGGGTGCAGGAGGCCGAGGCACCGCTCCAGCTCGCGCCGCATGCTCCGCAGGTCGAGCGGATGCACGCACTCGTCCGTCCCGGTCTTCGATGACGACGAAGATGAGGCTGATGACGATGAACGTTGAGGGGCCGAGGGTTGGAAGAGCTCGTGACCCAGACACGCCTTGAGCTTGCCCAGGTGGCGATAGGCCTTGAGCGTCAGCTGGTAGACCCAGGTCCTCGCCTTCCGGAGCGTCGTCGTCATCGCTGGCATTGTCGTTGTCATCGTTATGGGCCTTGCCCTTGGCT